CAACATTATAGAAAACAAGATTTTTTAAGATGATGATGATGATGATGATGATGATGATGATGATGATGATGTCATGGTCATGTGATGATTTGCTTAACAACCGTGGCAAAAAAGGTCATAACATCAGGTGTGGTCATGTGATGCCTCATTTAATGACTGCATCATTTAACAACACATTTTCTAATCCCTATTGTGGTTGTAGCAGGTGGTCCTCATTTAATGACCACTCATTCAGCAACTGTTCAAACTTATGATGGTGCTGAATGAGTGGTACTGTGATGGAATGGTTTGGTGAAGACCGTGCTCGGGGAGATAAGCATTGCCTTAGCCCCCAGAAGGAGTGTGGGAAGGTGAAGAGAATGAGACTGGCACCACCCTAAGGAATTCACAGTGTTTGCTTGGTGGCTTGGGAAGTTTAGATTCAGTCTGGCGAGATTCTGTCTTGTAGGTGGAAGCTAATAAATGCAGTAGAACTGAACCTGTACTGTCTCATAGAGTTTTTTGGGCTGAACCTGACATCAATCTCGTCAGACTCATACTACCATCAAGAAGGGGGAAATTGGAATCATGGCAACGGATCCCCAGGGGGCAAATTTGACACCACAGTTGCTGGCAGCAGCCCTACTACAACACCAACAGCAAGTGGATGCACAAATTAATAATCTGCAGGCAGCTATGGGACAGTTAGTACAACAGCTCGGACAAGTGGGCCAGCAGCCACCTCCTCTGCCACCGGTGTTGCTACATTCGCCTAGTAGCATGCCTGAGAAGTATGGAGGTGAGGTGGAGCAGATGAGAACCTTCCTGGCACAATGCAATGTTCATGGATGGCAGACCGGGACAGTTTCCTACAGACTGAACAAGAGTGGCTTTTGTGATGAGTTTATTGAAGGGTGCTGCAGCCAAGTGGGCAACCCCCCTCATGGAGGCAGGTGATCCAGTGCTCAACAACTACCAGAATTTTGTCGCTGCCTTCAGGGGGCATTTCGGAGATCCAGTGAGGAGATTAACTGCCTGTTGGGACATTCGCAAGCTCAAGCAAGGCGGCAGACCGGTAAGGTTGTTCATTGCAGATTTCAAGTTCTCGGCAGGGGATGTCGAGTGGAATGAGATGGCTCTTATGGACCAGTTTAGAGAGGGCCTGGACCCTGAGCTCCGGTCTGAGCTGATAAAACAAGGCAGTCCAAATACTCTGGATGATCTGTATCAGCTTTGTATAGTAGTTGATGCCAGACTGCTGGAATTAAAGCAGTATTCTGCGTCTACTCTTCTTGCTGCTCCTCAACCTCCCCAGGCAGCCCTCCCCTCCCCTCGTGCTGTGACATGTGAACGAGTGGACAGAGAGCTGATGCAGTTAGAAGCTACTCGGAGAACACAAAAGAAGTCACAACCAATATTCTGGCCAGTCCCCTTGTCCTGAGAGATCCTTGCTGCAAGA